TAGGAAGCGTCGAAAGCAGCTTCACTGATTAAGAACAGTTCATTAGTTAGTAAATAACTAATAAAATAGTTCACTGTTACATTACCAAACAACAGCCTAACTTACTTGAGCAATTTTCTCGTCGAGCATTCGAAAGAAATCTGCTTGGCTAGTGCTTCCCACTTGCCTAAATAAATCACAACTGATCAGAGAGGAATATATAAGGATCAGAAGCAGCGTAAAAGCGTAGACAAATCAAATATCAAAAAAATTTAGAACATACCCTAAAGGTTTGTTGACGTAAATTGCATTCGATTCCTGGATGCTCGACAACACCCTAAAATTCGCAGTTTTAAAACTGATTTTATAAGCAACATCTGGATCTTCGCAGTTGAACAACCTCCCATCACGGTATTTTGGGAAATTATGAACGTGACTGGGGAGAACTCTAGGCCTCAAATGTAGCTGTGTAGGCCATGCGATTTGCAAATCTTAACACTTTTCTGCGTGTTTTGTACATCTATGCAGTGAAAAGACGCATATTGTCGAATGATCTTCTATACGTGTGTGTATGCAAGTGGATGTGTGGGTGTGTTTATATGTATGTACATTTGTGTGCGTGCGTAACGTCTGTCCAGGCTTTTGTTCTCGAGACCTAAAAAGTTACAAAGCTGAAATTTTAGCAGCTTAGTCCATACCTATGTACGGGCCCTAGGCACAAAATGAAAGAGCACGTCTTCTTGGTTCTCGCGTACGGGCAAGCAAAAGATTTACTGGCAGTATAACGATTTAGAAAATCACTGTAGTCCAGAAGACTAGAAATTTATGAAGATATTCCTTGTTTAAATGTAATTTGCAGTATTTAGATTCAGCTTTCATGCAACCCTAAGTCTTAATTACGTAATTGTCAAAGTTTAAATTGGTGTCATGCCAGCATAAAAATTAGACTGAGTAGAAAGCGGTAGTGAGCTGAAATTTTACGATGCTATTTGTCTCCTAGAAGTGATCTTTCTGTATTATTTGGAAACTGAAGACAACTTCAGAACCGTCGAGTTTAGGAAGTCGAATTCAACTGATATTATTGACTAAAAAGTAGACAAAGCTATGAACATGAAGCTTCATAGGTCTAATTCATTACACACTACACGATAAAAATCCAGCCTTAAAAATTAATTGTTTTTCACCTGCAACCTTAAGTTCAGGCTCAGAATGTTAAAAATTCAGAAAAAGTCAAGAATGTGGAATTGTGGAATGTTGTTTCTCTAAGTGATACGTGGCTGAGTGAGCTAAAATTTATTTTTCGAATCTCGATGCGTCATGGCTAACTGCCACCAAACTTACTTCGCAATAGGCATTTTAAGACTAGAAATAAGTGAACCACATTTTGAGTGATCAAACCGCAAAAAT